GGCCTCTCTCATCTTTTTAAGTGGGAGAACTTGCACAATTGGTGACTGACTAAATACTTATTTTCCCCACTGTAGTTTAATAAAAGCATTTTGTTGCACTGTACAACCCTGTTTCAGTATAATGACAATAAATTGAAGTGAATTTTTCTTCAAATATAGGAGCACCACAGAATTTAATGTGTGATAAGTGTGAAGCTTCATATAATAAAGTTAGTGATGCTGAGTGGCATCATCATGCAGAAACATAAATCACTCTGAGGCTCTTAAAATTTATTTCAGATGTTTGTCACAAGGGATTTAGAAACAACTCTAATGAATCATTCGTCATTAATTACAAACACAACTGGCTGATGTCCCAAACTCACAACAGGATTATTTAGTGTGGGACAAAACAGAAAAAGAACCTGGAAGTCCACCGTGTCCTGACAGGTCCTGCTGAAGGTCCTACAGTGGTGTCAGTCTGCATGAGACCAACCATGAGCTGAAACATGTCATCACAGTAAAACTGAGTGTTTCAGGAGATTAACCTCATTATGACCGAGCAGCTGGAGTCAGTGCTTCTGACTGAAGATCACTGTGGTCAGGTCATGGAGCAGCAGGTCCAGAGGAACCACACACAGTTCTGTCCTGGTGACACTCTGCACTTCCTTCTGACTGAAGATCAGGATGAACCAGAGGACGTTTAATCTGCCTACAGCTCTGTCACCATGACATGTGACTGGAAAACCTCCAGATCAGATGTTCAAACCACCTGAAGTGACTGGTTTCAGCCTGAGCCTGATGACAGAACCAGTGTTGGACCAGCATGGTGGTTCAGAACCAGGCAGTGCTGGAGGAGGTGTTTGCAGTTTTTGCTGTTATTTTTAACACTTTGTTTGAACTTTAAACTGCTTTAGTCAGTTGATTTAATGTGCTGTGAAAAACTAAACAGACACACACCACATTGTATTAAAAACACTAGAACTTGTTTGAATCAAATAGTCCTGATGCATCTCAGTAATCCAGGTAAAAAATCAAAAAGAAAAAAATAGTGTAGGTCCTCTGGACGGGTTCTTCTAATGAAACGT